TGTGTGTGTGTGTGTGTGTGTGTGTGTGTGTGTGTGTGTGTGTGTGTGTGTGTGTGTGTGTGTGTGTGTGTGTGTGTGTGTGTGTGTGTGTGTGTGTGTGTGTGTGTGTGTGTGTGTGTGTGTGTGTGTGTGTGTGTGTGTGTGTGTGTGTGTGTGTGTGTGTGTGTGTGTGTGTGTGTGTGTGTGTGTGTGTGTGTGTGTGTGTGTGTGTGTGTGTGTGTGTGTGTGTGTGTGTGTGTGTGTGTGTGTGTGTGTGTGTGTCCGGCGCCAGGGAGGGGCTACTTAGCATAATTCCAAAAAAAAATCCAAATTTCCTCATTCTTGCAAGTTGCCCGCGCGGGTGTGGTCGGAGGAAGGGAGGGGTCCGAAGGACCCAAGCTATCGGAAAGTCAAATTTCTCATGCAAAGGCCGCATTCCAGCGCCCAAGGCCTGCGAAGCGGGTTTTGGGCGCTGGTTTCATAATAATATAGCCCCCCACATATTTAGTACTGAGAAACCCAAACGTAGTCTATTCTATGGCGACGATTGCCCAATGGTCAACGGAGATGTTCAGCGCTCTCGAATATATCAAAAGCAAGGAATTGGTACATCATGATGTTAAGCCGGATAAGTGATTCGATCATCTGATTCAAAGAATTAACAACTCTGTACAGTATATTTGTCTATGGCCATGATTACACGCTGAAATTGGGCGATTTTGGATCTGTTCGAAATATGAAAACTACGGCATATGGCGGAGGAGGGACGCGTGGCTATATGGCGCCGGAGGTTATTCGCGGTCGAAAAATGGATGGCGAGGTGATTGCGCAACGTTTATGTGACCTAGCCAATTTAGGATGTCTATAAATGTGACATTTATAGCGCTGGATGGGTTGTATTGGATATTGTTAGCAGGAGGTAGGACCGTCACGCAGGGCCAGACAGTACCGGCAGTTAACAAATTTTCATTGCAAATTTTACCGGCGACCTCCGAAAGTTATGCCTTTTAGTGTGGGACAAAGTTGCATCGGAAACAATGGTATAGATGGGATATTGAAGGACAGACCGCATTTGGCGACACTTAACATGCTTATCGTAGGGTAGGTTAAAGACCGTTTGCGAGAGGACCGAACGATGCTTGTCACAGTTTTTTCGACCTTGTTTTTTGACGGCATCGGAAAGGGCATAGTCGAATTAGTAGGGCGGCATAGTTTTGAAAGTTTAAAAAGTTAATTTTTAGGGTTAACATTGGAGTCAAAGTTGCCGGCCCTCAAAAATTATCTCCAAAGTTACTGAACCAAATTGGCTGAAAATTGGTCACAGTACTTAATTTGGGATGCTGATCATTTCTCTAGTATATCGAAAAGCACGAAAATGAGCGGAACATGGATAAATCGCGTACCTAAAACAGTTTTTCAGGGTTTTTTATTATTCGGCTTCTGAATATAGACTGAGTTCCGGGGAGGAATCGAACTCGGACCCTTCGCCTGGAAGCCCTCTCTGGGGCCGTGGTGGATTGCATGAGTGCTCGCTTACCAATCCAAGGGCCGCGCCAGTTAAGTCCCAGCCCCCCCTTCAACAGTAATATTTCTTTTTGCTCTTTTTTGCAATCTACTCATCTCGTTCTCTAGATATGGTTTGAGATATTCGATTTCAAAAGTGGTCATTTTTGAGATTTTTGACCCATTTTGGGGGCTGTTTTGCGCGCAGTAAATGCTTTATAGCAAGAGTAGGGTTTCTGTCGGTTCGGTATAAAATACCTCATTCGATGTAGAAATTTTTTGCGCATCTTTTAAGGTTATTTACAACGGACCGCCAAGAACCCGTAAAATACAAAACCCTGAAAAACTGTTTTGGGTACGCGATTTAACCATGTTCCGCTCATTTTCGTGCTTTTCGATGTATTAGAGAAATGATCAGCATCCCAAATTAGGTACTGTGACAAATTTTCGACCAATTTGGTTCAGTAACTTTCGAGATAATTTTTGAGGGCCGGCAACTTTGACTCCAATGTTAACCCTAAAAATTAACTTTTTAAACTTTCAAAACTAAGCAGCCCTACTAATCCGACTATGGCCTTTCCGATGCCGCCAAAAAACAAGGTCGGAAAAGCTGTGCCAAGTCATATTTTTGGGTCTGTTCGGGTGACTCGCGGATGGCCTTTTAAAAGGCCGTCCGCGGGTCACTCGAACGGTCTAATACTAACGAGTTACTGGAATCGAACTCGCGATGGCTCGCCTGGGGGGGCTCTGGGGACTATACATGGGTCGACGCTTGCATGCGCCGCATAAGCGTGGCCGGCCACGCTCTTCCGGAGCGTGGGAAGCCACGCTGGCGCGCGTGCCTCTTAATAAACCACGCCGAAATGAGCGTGGCCCGCCACGCTCCGGAAACGCTTATGCAAAGCTTCTAAAAAATGCAAATTCAAAGTTTTCCGAGGGACATGAAAGCAAAAATTGATCCGTTTCGAGAATTTAATTAACAAGAAGTTGAATCACGATCTATCTTGTTTATTTATCAAAATTTAAAGATGACCCTGATAGTTATGTATCGGCAATTCATTTTTGCAAATCGAATTCATAAATATATGTCCTTTAAATTTTTGATTTGCATCTGGAGTTAAATCGCGCGCGTGAAAAGCACGCATAAAGCGCCGCATAAGCGTGGTCCTCCACGCTCCGGAAGAGCGTGGCCAGCCACGCTTATGCGGCGCATGCAAGCGTCGACCCATGTATACTGGGGACAGCCACTAGAGGGCGCCGCCGCCTCCCAGGCGAACGACCCGATTTCAAATCCAGCCCCCTCTTAGAAACCGAATTTTTTTTGCTCCTTTTTGCTATCGCCGTGATTTGGGCCGTAGATGCAAATCTATGCTTTTCCCTCCAGACCTGATCAAATTTTTCATTTTTGGCTGGCATCAAGGCCATTTTTGTAGTTTTTAGAGTGTTCACGGCACTCTAGAAAATACAACACTCGATGCAGAAAATTTTTGCGCGACTTTCTATGTTATTTTCACGTTACAGACAACACACTAAAAGTTCGAAACTTTTGAAAACTGTTCTGAGTACGCGAGATTCCTATGTTCCGCCGATTTTCGGGTTTAGCATGGTATTAGAAAAATGATCCCCGTCCCAAATTAGGTATTGACACAAATTTTCAGCAAATGTGGTTAAGTAACTTCAAAGATAATTTTTTTGGGGGTGAACGACTTTAACGGTCCTTTAAAGTCCAAAAATGACCTTTTATAAATCTCAAAACCATGCCGTCCTACTAATTTGACCATGTGCTCTTTCACATGGCATCGAAAAACCGGAGCGAAAAAAATGCTGTGCCAGCCTCTGTTCAGTTGGCTCGCAAACGGCCTCTTAACTTGCCATCGGCAATATCCATTATCCATTATGACAGGTGTACTAAGCAAAATGTTAAACAAAGGCTTGGAGTGGAAAAGGCGATGGTGTTATGCGGAAGATTGACAGAGGTAGCCGCTGGAATCTAATATAGTAATGACAGAATTACAGGAGTTCCGGGCGTTTGACGCCAAGCCAGATACAGAGCGGCTCCGCAAAAGGCTCGAGCCGCCGATTGGATTAAATCCCGTGGGCAGCGATGCTTCGCAGCATTCTTCCGAGCTTAGTGTCCCGCCTGGCAATCCCTTGACGAGTAGTGTAGACGCGAGGACGGCAAAAAACAATCGAGGGAAATTCCCAGCTCTAGCGAACGACTACTTATCGAACTGAAAGAGAAGCTGGAGACACCTACCGCATTCGATGGACGTATTTTTCCAGATGACAAATGGCTCTGCAGAGACGGTTGGGAGACCAAAGGATGTACAGGCATTGGCCATGAATGCTGCAAAAAGAACAGGAAGGAGCTGTGCGACAGAATTCTCATCATGTTATCGGAGCTTCCGACTGAGGATCAATATAAATGCGCAGAACAAATGGATATATTTTGGAAAGTAGAAGCTCCTAAACTACTCGGCCATGAAAAACAGCCTCCGTTGCCAAAAATCCGGGACAAAAAAGTGCCAGGGCCGATAGCGGTCATCCTTGATATATACATGATGCTGGTTAAGAGAGACGTATGGCATCAAAGCGAGGCGCATGCTTTTGGGGTGTGGGTACTCTCTGGAACACCTCGTGGAACACTTCCTCAATGGGATGGTTTAAAGGCACTCAATAAAGCCGTCTACGACATTGAGGATTTGGGTAAACTATTTACAGTAAGAGCTCGCTACAATATTGGAAGATTTAAGGACTCACTACATCCGTGGTTCAGAATTGAAGATGCTGGAGCATACCTACGGAAAGATTGTTCCGAAACTCGCGTATACAAACCGCTTGCAAAATTTCATGACGGTTGGGAGTTTGACCATAGAGAGCCATTGAATAATGAGCAGATTCGGCGGGCATTAATCGAAGCCGGCAAGCATCTCGAAAGAAAACTGAGGAGCCGTGATGATGATGATTGGCTAATCACAAGAATAGAGGGTTTTCCTATTGGCATCAAAGTTCCCTCCGATTTGATGCCTAAAATAGCTTCACTTCCAGGACAACCATTTCCGGGATATTATTTTGTCAACGGCATCCCTCCGAGTCATGAATGCGATAAAGATAAATGCGGCATTGTCGAAGGGGGTGGTTTTCCAAAAACGGTGGATCCTGAGTTCCGTGTGAAAGTACCTCAATGTGCAACAACGGCTCAAATCGACTATATTGAAGAGTATACGTTGATAACCCGCGCCCTGCAATACATTTCCCAATGGAAGGTTCGAGCACCCATTTGGTGGCAGGAGTTGGCGAAAGCGCTGCTCACAGAGATCGAGCTCAAACCAAGACAATCGAAGTTCCTTTTCGCGTTGTTGGAAATAGAGGACTGTTCTAATGCTCTACTATTCCAGCATAATGGATGGTTGCAGACTTTTATGGTCATTACCAAGAATTTGGAACTGCTCGACTATTCTACTGAGAAGGTGGAGTGTCTGCGATTCGTACCTCTGCGACTCTCCGACCTAACCCCGATGCTCGGCGCCATCCGAGATTATTACAACAAGTACTGTTTTTTTTATCACGTTGGTAAGCCCTCATTCGTCGACCAATCAACCTAATTTGAAGGTGCCGTCGGTCCCAAAGTGATGCAGCCGTTGATCGACGCTTTTTGGAATGAAATCATGTGAGTTTGGCTAGCCTTTGTCTCAACATTTCGCTTCAGGACGACTAAATCGGAAGAATGGGAGGCCTTAACGCGTGACATAGTCTGTGAAACAGAATCAGACAGAAAACGACCCAGAATTCCAAGCCGGATGGAATGAGAAGAACTGCTAATACATGATTCTAATTTGTTGAAATGCATTTATAGACTAGTGTTACTTCTAATTGATATAACGTCTTTATGTACAGCGGAGGATAATCACAGAGAAACATAATTAACCCGGGTTTTCAGAGCCGGTTTGAATGTCAGAACGGCCAGAAAAATTATAGATACCTCATCAGAAACCCATATTTTTCTGTTATCCAAAGCCTCCCAAAGGGGGTGTTTCCTCAATCCCGAAATTTCCAATCTCGAAACTCCCTATCCCGAAACTCTCTATCCCGAAAGTTGTGTATCCCGAAAACTCCGTATCCCGAAAAACTTTCTATCCCGAAACTCCGTATCCCGAAACAAGTTAGCTAGCTTTAACGTACCGAACACCAGAATAGATCTTTGAAGTAAATAGTTTTCCACTATTTTTCGGTTTCGGAAATTTGATAAAATGATTTTCCGATGGCTTCAAGGATTAAGGGCGTTAGGAAACGCAAAATACTGAGTTTCGGGATTGAGAGTTTCGGGATAGAGAAGTTTCGGGATAGAGAGTTTCGGGATAGGGAGTTTTCGGGATCGAGAGTTTTCGGGATACACAACTTTCGGGATAGAGAGTTTCGGGATAGGGAGTTTCGAGATTGGAAATTTCGGGATTGGAAATTTCGGGATAGAGAGCGGCATTCGTAAAAACACTTTACTGTGAGCGCACCTCTTGTCGAGATCCATAGTCTTCGCGTGCGCTTCTCGTAAATACCGCCATCCAATTTCTATTAGATCTAAATTTTCGATTCCACCCCAATACGGTCCCCTCAAAAAATTCCATGCACCCCGGAAAAATCCTCAGCTAATTCCGGTCCCCGATTTTTGTTCTGCAGGTTTTTGGATAGGTTGCCATAGTATCGAAAGGGAAAAAGGGGATGAAGGGAGGGAAGGGAATGAATCACTCGCTTTCCAACAGCCCGCTACGAATTGTTGACGTACCCAAAAAGAGGGAAAGGATCGAGCGGAGGGGCGGAAAGAGACGGAACGGAGTGTCGCGGAATACATAGTATACAACACTTTAACAAAACATTTCGAGACACATTGACACTGGTGGTGAATTTGTACAGGGTGTCCCAAAAACAAGTGTCCAAGTTTGTCCCCAATTAACTCGAGAAGGAAACATATTTCACCGTGCGTTACCATGCCAGAATGCTTAAATACGTCAGGAATATGGAAATAACTCAACTTGATTTATTCGATTTTTGGCGACGTACCCATACAAATGACACCCGAAAACTGTGCGTTCCGGCAGAACTTCGTTTGCATTTTTTGGATTGCTGGTGGTCGAACACTTCCAATTTTTACAGTGTAGGTACCTCAGGATCGCCCCTACGCATATCCGAAATTTTAGAATTTTTGAAGGTCAGGTTGGCAAGCTATAGCGTGCTCAAATTTAATATGGAGAAATTTCGTAAATTTTGGATATTACAAAAACCTATGGTAGAAACCTCAAAATAAGCTCTTTTAGCATGTCTATAGGCTCGATACAATCCCACAAAAATATCAAAAAAAATTTTCAGTTCCGCCGATTTTTGAGTAAGTAAAAAAAAAGTAAAAAAATTGTGCTTAGATCAAAGAAACCGTCCAAAAATTACATGTCGTAATCGATTACGGTAACCGGGCCGGCAGATTACGGTCATTTGATAAATTTTCGTAAATTTCGAGAAAAGAAGAACAGAATCGATCGATACTTTATAGATGCGTCGCGGTGACAGCTTTTGTATGTGCTTCCGATCCATCAGAGAGCCCGAATAATTTCCGGCAAATCCTGGCGCGGTACTGTGGGAGTACGGTGACGGTCAGCACCGGGTTCACCACCTGAAAAACAAAATTTTGATTTTTACGAATCGTTTGTTGGCCAGTTAGTCGGTTAAAGGCTCCAGGAAGTGCGAAAATCCACCCCCGCATCCACTAGGTCTCGACAACCAGATTCTAGTATTTAGAGTCGAGGTGATTGTCGAGACCCAGTCGAAACAAGGGGTCGATTAGGACGGTGCCCAGTTCCTTTAAAGCCCAAAAACATACCGCATTAAGCTGCACGAGGTACCACATGATCCATAAAAATAGTAGCGTAACGCATTGGCTCTGGCCGGTGGCTGGGGAGATTAGACGTTTCATGTCTGAAAGAAAAACGGGTTTTAGATCAAAAGTCACGATAAAATTTTGATATATAAGTATTTAAAACTTAAATCAATAAAATTTAAAAATTAAAATTCGTTATAACTTACTTATAACTCGATACGGTAATAATGTGCATGCCGTAAAAATCGTCGTCATAAAGATGAAATAGAATGTTCGGAGGCGAGAGGCGAATGTTTGATGCGTGTGTGGACCGCCGTTGTTGTTTCCGCATAGGGTTTGTTCTGAAAAATAGATTTATTACCAAAAAAATACCGACTAACCTTTTTCGCTTTTGGATTGCTGGTGGTCGAACACTTCCAATTTTCACAGTGTAGGTTATACATGGGTCGACGCTTGCATGCGCCGCATAAGCGTGGCCGGCCACGCTCTTCCGGAGCGTGGGAAGCCACGCTGGCGCGCGTGCCTCTTAATAAACCACGCCGAAATGAGCGTGGCCCGCCACGCTCCGGAAACGCTTATGGAAAGCTTCTAAAAATGCAAAATCAACGTTTTCCAAGGGAAATGAAAGCAAAAATCGATCCGTTTTCGAGAATTTAATTAACAAGAAGTTGAATGACGATCTATCTTGTCTATTTATCAAAATTTAAAGATGACCCTGATAGTTATGTATCGGTAATTCATTTTTGCAAATCGAAATCATAACCATATGTCCTTTAAATTTTTGATTTGCATCTGGAGTTAAATCGCGCGCGTGAAAAAGCCCGCATAAAGCGCCGCATAAGCGTGGTCCACCACGCCCCGGAAGAGCGTGGCCGGCCACGCTTATGCGGCGCATGCATGCGTCGACCCATGTATAGTGTAGGTACCTCAGGATCGCCCCTACGCATATCCGAAATTTCAGAATTTTTGAAGGTCAGGTTGGCAAGTTATAGCGTGCTCAAATTTAATATGGAGAATTTCGTAAATTTTGGATATTACAAAAACCTATGGTGGAAACCTCAAAATAAGCTCTCGGCTAAATTGCGTTATATGGTCATTAAACGGATTTTGGATTTTTATATACCAAAATGCTCAGCAGTTCGAGCTGGTTCAGGATCAGTTGAAAAAACTATTGGGAAACGCTTCTGGAGCGAGTTATAACACTTCAAAGTTGGCGAGTGTCGTATATGGTCACTAAACGGATTTTGAATTTTTAGATGTCAAAATGCTCAGCGGGCCGAGCTGATTCTAGAACAGTTGAAAAAACCTTTGGGAAATACTTCTGGAGCGAGATATAACACTACAAAGTTTCGCGTTACCCCGGCCCAATACATAACGTTGTCGCCCAGGCGAGTCAGTTTTCGGTGGTGCGAAAAATGGTTGGGTTCGAAATGGGTTTGGTATGAAACTACATACCCGATCTGAGCCTAAAAATAAAGCTTCGTGCCACCCAGGGCCTAGTCGCTTCGGATGGGTGCGAGCTCGTACAGGGTTTCGAAATGGGGGCGCCAAGGCCGGCGAAGCGGCCGGGGGCGCCCCCGTTTCGAAAGAGTGGAGCGGCAGCCCATCCGAAGCGACGGCCCACCTTGCCTGACTTTTCTTGGAAAGCCCTTGGAAAAGTTGCGAGACTGTAATGCGGGATTCTGAAAATGCGATATTCTGAAAATGCGATATTCTGAAAATGCGAGATTCTGAAAATGCGAGATTCTGAAAATTCGAGATTCTGAAAATGCGAAATTCTGAAAATGCGAGATTCTGAAAATGCGAGATTCTGAAAATGCGAGATTCCGAAAAAGCGAGATTATGATAATGCGAGATTATGATAATGCGAGATTCTGAAAATGCGAAATTCTGAAAATGCGAGATTCTGAAAATGCGAGATTCTGAAAATGCGAGATTCCGAAAAAGCGAGATTATGATAATGCGAGATTATGATAATGCGAGATTCTGAAAATGCGAAATTCTGAAAATGAGAGATTCCGAAAATGCGAGATTATGAAAATGCGAGATTCTGAAAATGCGAAATTCTGAAAATGCGAGATTCTGAAAATGCGAGATTCTGAAAATGCGAAATTCTGGAAATGCGAGATTCCGAAAAAGCGAGATTATGATAATGCGAGCTTATGAAAATGCGAGATTATGATAATGCGAGATTATGAAAATGCGAGATTCTGAAAGATTCCCGGTTCATTCCTATGGTAACTTTATGGCGCTTCTGAAGGATGTTTGGGTCTAAAATTTGTGCACCTCAGGAAAACGCAGAAAATAATAAAAATCACCGGGGCTATTGTAATTGTTATCCTACAAACTTTTGAACTCCACAGATAAATGTGAAAAAAGAAACAACCGTGATGGTCCGCAAAATATTTAGAAAGAAATTTCCGAAGCTTGATTGTTAGGAATTTCGGCTCAACCCAATAGCTTCAATAAGGCTAAAAAGAGTCTTTTCAAAAAAGGGCTTTTGGTTTTCGCAAAAAGAGAGGAATTCTCGTGGCAACAAAAAGTGCTAAATTCCTTTCAAACTCTCGAAAAATGTGGGCACAACAAAAAGTTGCTGGCTATTTAAAATATAAATAAACTTGGTACCTCCTAGATTGCAGGGGAGGTCTGCAGGAAAATGTAAATAGATCATAATACAGAAATTATTTGCAAGCCGAAACGTCTAAAAATTAGATCTGCCGCTTTGAATAAGGTGCCAGCAACTTTTGGTTGACCCCACATTTTGTGGCATTTTCGAGAGTTTGAAAGGAATTTAGCACTTTTTGTTGCCACGAGAATTCCTCTCTTTTTGCGAAAACCAAAAGCCCTTTTTTGAAAAGACTCTTTTTAGCCTTAGAGAGAATTTAGCCCTTTTTGCCTCAACCTCGTTGTTAAGATCATAAAATAAGTCATGGGATATTCCTTTAGATCAACACGTGTACGAAATACTCCAAAAAAAAATTTGCCTGCGGCACTTTGTAACGGCAATATAAACCATTTGGATGCGTGTGGGCCAATTGGCAAAAACGATGCTGCTGGTGGGATTCGAACTGGGGAGCCAGTCTTCCGAGTAGAGCGTGCTAACCACTAGGCCAACAGGGAGACTGGTGGTCTGTCTTGGGGGAGCTAGACCCGCGCCCCTGACGGGGGACTGGGGGCCGCGAAAGGGGAGGGTGATACCCCGTATGGCGAAGGTTTAAAGTTATACCATCTCAAAGGAAACACCTTCTTTCCATGCAATTTCTTCTTTATTTTTTCGGCATGGTCTAATGCATATTTGAGCAAAATTTCAGCCCAAACGGACAACACTAACCCTTGTTTTGGACGCAATTTAGCTTTTAAACTTAAAAATTACATATAAATTTTTTAAAAGCCTATTTAAAAAAAACCCTTCTTGCGGTCCGAGATTATCATTCACCCAATAACTGTAAAAAATTTCAGCCGAAACGGATGATGGGAAGGCACTTTTTAACGACTACAAAGGTTTTGTGGCATTTTGTGGCGTTTTGTGGCACACATACATACATACAAACAAACGCAGACCCCCCCTCGAAACGCAATTTAAGTCGGCCGTTAAAATTCGAAATTTCACTTTTTTTAACAAAAAAAAACTATGTCGCCGGTTCCGATGGTGTATTTAGTTTTCCGATCCGATGCCTGGTTCTTTTCTAAATCCGGAAAAAGACCCCAAAAGAGTCGTATGGAGGGGTATCTCAAACCAAAAGGGGTTAACGGGCTACGCCCGCTAACCCCGAATGGGGGTCGTCTCCGAAAATAATCTATCGATTGGTGAATCTCTTGTGCAAGTGCTCACCCGCCCGTTATCTATATTCTGTTGAAGGGCTGAAGCGCTCATTTTCCGTGCACGCTGCTTGCTAATTTTGTCGTTTTGTTTTTGAATTTTGCGTTGGTTTAAGCTTTTGCAAAACTGATTTGTAAGATGGCGAAGGAATTGCTGGGCCACGGCGGATTTGGTCAAGTGTGGCTCCTTGATACGGATCCGTAAGTGATTTCTCCTTGCCAATAGTCAGCCATTACAGACCGATGGTTATGAAGGAAGTAATAGGAACGGATGACTATGAGGTCTATTTGAGGGAGCTGCGAGCATTGAAGGTACGCTTACTAGTTAGTTAGGCCTAACTCTAACTAGGGGGAGCCCGAATAAACCCGGACACAGAACTGACTGAAAATTTGCACACAGCTAGAATCGACCACGCGGGACATCACCTCGTTTTCCGAATTCGCTACTAATATTTAAAACTCGAGACATAATCTCGAGAACAACTCGAGATTATGTTTTAGTGTCAATTTTCGCCACCGAGCAATGATTCGAAAATGCTGTCGTTCTTTTTTTTGTTCTATAGTTCTGATTTAATTTAAGTGGCATACCTATAGAAAATTCTTTCCTGATTCGAATGGTATATTCCATTAAGGCAGGATTCCAATAGAGGGTGCCTTACAGCTGTTTGAAGTAGGCTGTTTTTCACTATTTCCCCATACAAAAATCGAAGTCCATAAGCATCGATTTCTCCAGTTTTCTAAATTTTTAGTTAGATGGCTCATTCTAAAGAGAAACGTTTTCTGAATGCGTTGGCAATATTTTCTTTGGAAATTCGACCGGGAAGATCGAAATAATCATTGTCATAGTTTGGCGAACCGCCTTACAAGGAGACGTTTTTTGGTGTAAATGGAGTTCTGAGTGGAAACCAGGCCTATATTGTGCAGAATTTTGCGCTGATTCCGAATATGTTTTCCATTTCTGCTAAATAGCTCGATTTCAAAAGTTACAGCAATTTTAAGATCATTTTAGCCCAAATTTTGCCCTCTTTAGGGACCATGATGTTGCTTTTCCCGGCTGTTTTTCCAAAAATAAATATCGTCACCGTATTCAGAACAATTTTCTCTATCGAATGAGCTATCTAACAAAAAATTGTTGAAAATCGAAAAAATCGACGATACTTGCTTGGCTACGATTTTTGTATGGGAAATGGTGAAAAACAGCCTATTTCTCACCCCTGTAAGCCATCGACGATCGGCAGTAGCGCACTAATCAAACATACCAGTCGAATCAGAAAAAAATTCTCTACAAGATAGGCTACTTAAAATAAATTAGAACATTATAACAAAAAAGTAGCACAGCATAGCATATGGCTACTCTGGGCCTAAAAACTATCTTAAAATAGCTGTAACTTTTTAAATCGAGCTATTTAGCAAAATTGGAAAACAGTATCGGGATCAGCGCAAAATTCTGCACAGAATAGGCCTGGGTTCAACTTAAAACTCCATTCACACTAAAAAACGTCTCCTTGTTAGGAGGGGCCATCAACTAATTGGCAACTAGCCAATAGGGCAGAGAGCGTGGAGTTTTTCAGATGTCGCGCAATCGCGAGTCCAAAAAGGCCCTTTCCCACCCAAACAGCCTGAATATCACAGCGGTCACACATCTGCGCGTCTCGCATCCTCTCATTAGTGCGCTGCTTAGCTGACAAGGAGACGTTTTTGAGTGTCGTCGGGACTTTGGCGCGGGACCAAGCCTATCTTGTGCAGAATTTTACGCTGATTCCGAATATGGTAACCGTTGTTGCGGAATGGCCATTTCTCGAAAGTTATGAACGATTTAAACCTCAAAACAGCCCAAAATCGGTTACTTTCGTCATAAAAGGCTTCAAAATAGGTTTTAGGCAAAACCAGATAGTACATCTTGTTCAGAAAAAAATTCTCTATAAAATGCACCATCTTTTCCAAAACCATTGAAAAGTTGGAAAAATTTGATAAATCGGGAGGTCCATAATTTTACAAAAATTTTCAAAATTCCAGCATTTTTGAGTTAAGTAACCTTTTTTATAGAGAATTTTTTTCTGAACAAGATGCATTAACAAGTTTTGTCTAAAACCTATTCCGAAGCCTTTTATGGCTATCGAAAGTAGCCGATTTTGGGCTGTTTTGAGGTTTAAATCGTTCATAACTTTCGAGAAATGGCCAAACGGTTACCATATTCGGAATCAGCGTAAAATTCTGCACAAGATAGGCTTGGTCCCGTGCCAAAGTCCCGACGACACTCAAAAACGTCTCCTTGTGAGTCGGGCTGTTTGGACCGCAAATCGAGCCAAACCTGGCAAAGTTCCAGGAATCCACGTAACTCATGGATTTCGGCTTGCGCTATCCCTTTAAGAGTGACATATCTATGGTTTTAGAGATCAGTAGCAGATTCGAAAAATGATTCTAGCTCTGTGTAAATTTTCGACTCTCAATCCGGGTTTTTTCGGGCTCCCCTAGTCAAAGTTACAAGTAAGTAGTAAGTAGTACGCTTAGGACCCAATTTTTCTCGATAGCGTGGGAGAGCAGACATGAAGGGTCACAACATTTATTCGGAGGATGTCCCCGGGGGGGAGGTGACACCTCGGTGAAGTAAATGAGGACTGGAGAAGCCGGGGTCGGAGCGGATGACTGAAGCAATCACAACGAGAAATCGGGGCTTTATATACCAGGGAACACAGGGAAATCAGGATGTAAATGAGGGGAAGGGATGGTTATTGGCTTGGTCTTCCGGTCATTCTGCATGCGCATGCAGTCGCGGGATCGCGACACAATTAAAAGCCTGATTTAGGAACTGTCACACGAGAATGTCGTCAGATACTATGATCAGCCGGACAATTATTCAGAAAACGATTCGTGCGAACGGCTGATTTTTATGGAATACTGCGAGCATGGATCGCTAAAAGATGGTAGCATCTTCTTATCATAATTCAGCCCCCCAAATATTTAGTACTGAAAAACCCAAACATTGTCTACTCTATGGCGACGATCGCGCAATGGTCTACAGAGATGTTCAGCGCTCTCGAATACATCAAAAGCAAGGAACTGGTTCATCATGATGTCAAGCCGGATAAGTGATTCGATCATCTAATTAAAAGAATTAGCAACTCTGTACAGTATATTTGTCTATGGCCATGATTACACGCTGAAACTGGGCGATTTTGGATGTGTCCGGAATATGAAAACTACGGCATATGGCGGAGGAGGGACGCGTGGCTATATGGCGCCGGAGGTTATTCGCGGCCGAAAAATGGATGGCGAGGTCAAAGTGCAACGCTTATGTGACCGAGCCAATTTAGGATGTCTATAAATGCGACATTTATAGCGCTGGATGGGTTGTATTGGATATGGTGAATAGAAGGTACGACGATCACGCAGGGCCAGACAGTACCGGCAGTTAAAACCCCTTGGAAAGATGGCCGGGCGTCCCCAGGGGTGAGGGACCGACGGGGCGATACCATGCACGCTTTCCATCGCGTAAGAGCCCCCAAAACCCCGTCTGGGTTTCAAGAAAACAGATTTATAGCTATAACGTTTTTTGATTGACGATATTTTTGGCCAGAAACTTCCATAGAAATATTCTTTAGCCATCCCGATCGATGGCAAAAATTTGAGGCTGATTGGATAGAAGACAGCCATGTTCTGAGCGGAAAGAGGTTTCTGGGACACACTTTAGTTGAAAAAATCGTCAGTAAGGGCATAAAACTCTCCAGGGAACATGGGGAATCCTTTGCTTTCCTTTGCAAGCTTTTCTATAGCATTTTTTTGTTATTATTATTTATGAATAGCTTTATTTTCAATTGTTGCCCAGTAAAGCGCACCAATGCACCCCTAGGGTATTTGGGGCCCCTCCGCCGCCCCCACCCACTCGGTGCCCCCTTTGGTCTGGGGGTAGCGCGTTGGACTGCTGAGCGGACCATCCCTGGTTCGACCCCCGCCCGGTGCACCCTTTTTTGCGTTTTGACCAATCCCATCTTTCCAGAGGCCTTTAACAAATATTCATTGCAAATCACTGAAATTTATGCCTTTTAGCGTGGGAAATAGTTGCATCGGAAACAATGGTATAGACGAAATATTGAAGGATAGACCGCATTTGGCGACACTTAACATGCTCATAGTAGGGTAGGTTATCGAGTTATCGTCAATATCTGCCATACCGTATGACAGATGTACTAAGCAAAATGCTAAAGAAAGGCTTCGAGCGGAAAAAGCGATGGTGTTATGCGGAAAATTGACAAAGGTAGCCGCTGGAATCTAATATAGTAGTGACAGAATTACAGGAGTTCATGGAGTTTGATGCCAAGCCAGATACGGACCGACCCCACAAAAGGCTCGAGCCGCCGATTGGATTATTTCTTATGGGAAGCGACGCTTCGCAGCATTCTTACGACATAACACCCCCGCCTGGTACTTATTCGACGTGTGGTACAGACGGGAGTTCCGCGACGAAACAATCGAAAGGAAATTCCAACCCTAGCGAACGACTACTTATCGAATTGAAAGAGCAGTTGGAGACACCTACCGCATTCGATGAACGTGTTCTTCGTGACGAAGAAAGGATCTGCAAAGACGGTCGGGGGGCCAAAGGATGTAAAGGCAATGACCATGCAAACTGCAAAAAAGAACAGAAGGGAGCTGTGCGACAAAATTCTCACCATGTTATCGGAGCTTCCAACTGAGGATCAATATAGTTGCGCTGAAGCGATGAACGAATTTTGGAAAGTAAAAGCTCCCAGCCCGTTCTATGATAAATATTCAGCGTTGCCAAAAATCCGGGACGAAAAACTGACAGGGCCAATAGCAAACATCCTGGATGCATACATGATGCTGGTTAAGAGAGATCGGTGGCATCAAAGCGAGGCGCATTCTTTTGGGGTTTGGGTACTCTCTGAAACGCATCGTGAAATACTTCCTCGATGGGATATTTTAAAGGCAATCAATAAAGCCGTCTACGACATCGAGGATTTGGGGAAACTATTTACAGTAAGAGCTCGCTACAATATTGGGAGATTGAAGGGCTCGCGACATTCATGGTTCAGAATTAATGAAGCCGGAGCATACCTAAGGGAAGATTGTTCCGAAATTTGCGTATATATACCGAGTGCAGAATTTCGTGATATTTCGGGGTTTGCCCATTGCAAGCCATTGAATAATGAGCAGATTCGGCGGGCATTAATCGAAGCCGGCAAGCATCTCGAAACATTCCTGAGGAGCCTTGATGATGATCGGCTATTCACAAGAATAGGGGATTTACCTCCTGATATCAAAGTTCGCTCCGATTTGACGCCTAAAATAGATGCATTTCCAGGACAACCATTTCCGGGATATTATTTTCTCAACGGCAACCCTCCGAATCATGAATGCCATAAAGGTAGATGCGGCATTACCGAAGGGGCTGGTTTTCCAAAAACGGTGGCACCTGAGTTCCGTGTGAAAGTACCTCAATGTGCAACAACGGATCAAATCGACTTTATTGAAGAGTATACGTTGATAACCCGCGCCCTGCATTACATTTGCCAATGGCAGGTTCGAGCACCCATTTGGCGACGAGACTTGGTCGAAGCCTTGCTCACAGAAATCGAGGTCAAACCAAGACAATCGAAGTTCCTTTTCGCGTTGTTGGAAATAGAGGACTGTTCTAACGCTCTACTATTCCAATATAGTGAATGGTTGCTGAGTTTTATGGTCATCACCAAGAATTTGGAACTGCTCGACTATTCTTATAAGAAGGTGAAGTGTCTGCGACTCATAGGTCTGACGCTCGCCGACCTAACCCCGATGCTCGGCGCCATCCGGGATTATTACAACCAGTACGGTGTTTTTTCTCAAGATGGTAAGCCCTGATTCGTCGACCAATCAACCTAATTTGAAGGTGAACGTCGTGCCGTCGATCCCGAGGTGATGCAGCCGTTGATCAACGCTTTTTGGAATGAAATCATGTGAGTTTGGCTAGCCTTTGTCTCAACATTTTGCTTTAGGACGACTAAATCGGAAGAATGGGAGGCCTTAACGCGTGACATAGTCTGTGAATCAGACTCAGACGACCCAGAATTTGAATCCGAGTCTGAATGAGAAGTACTACTAAAATATGATCCTAATTTTTTGCAATGCCTTTATGGACTAGTGTAATGATTGAAATGACGTTATGTCAATTAGAAAATTGACATAACGTCGTTCTCTGCTTCGGAGTATAATCAATAAACAGATAATTGACCCTTGGCTTTTCAGAACCGGTTTGAATGTCAGGACGGCCAGAAAAATTAAAGATACCTCATCTGAAACCCATTTTTTTTGCTGTTATCCAACGCCTCCCAGATATTCGGAATCAGCGCAAAATTCTGCATAAGGTAGGCTAGGTTTCATTTCAAAGTTCCAGCCTGAGTAAAAACACTTTACCGTGAGCGCACCTCTAGTCGAGATCCATAGTCTTCGCGTGCGCTTCTCGTAAATACCGCCATCCAATTTCTATTAGATCTAAATTTTCGATTCCACCCCAATACGGTCCCCTCAAAAAAATTCCATACCCCCGGAAAAATCCTCAGCTAATTCCGGTCCCCGATTTTTTTTTGCGGGTTTTTGGATAGGTTGCCATAGTATCGGAAGGAAAAAGAGGAATGAAGGGAGGGAAGGAGGGAATGAATCACTCGCTTTCCAACAGCCCGCTTCGAATTGCTGACGTACCCAAAAAGAGGGAAAGGATCGAGCGGACGGGCGGAAAGAGACGGAATAGCGTGTCGCGGTATACGTAGTATACAACACCTTTACAGTACATTTCAAGCTACAATCTTTTCAAAAAAGGGCTTTTGGTTTTCGCAAAAAGAGATCAATTCTCGTGGCAACAAAAAGTGCTAAATTCCTTTAAAACTCTGAAAAATGCCACAAAATGTGGGATCAACCAAAAGTTGCTGGCACCTTATTAAAAGGGACAGACTCGTTTTTAGCCGTTTCGGCTTATAAATAAATTTCTGTATTATGAATCATTTTCTTGAAATTAATCTGTGGACCTGACCTGTAATCTGAAGCAGTCCCAAGTTTATTAAGATTTTAAATAGCCAGCAGCTTTTTGTTGTTCCCCATTTTGTGGCATTTTTCAGAGTTTTAAAGGAATTTAGCACTTTTTGTTGCCACGAGAATTGATCTCTTTTTGCGAAAACCAAAAGCCCTTTTTTGAAAAGACTCTTTTTAGCCTTAGAGAGAATTTAGCCCTTTTTGCCTCAATTTTGTTGTTAAGATCATAGAATAAGTCATGGGATATTTATTCAGATGAACCCTTGTACACAATACTTCAAAAAAATTTGCCTGCGGCGCTTGGTAACTGTACTAAAAACCTTAACGATGCATTCGGGCCAATCGGCAAAAAGGATGTTGCGGGCGGGGTTCGAACTCGGGAGCCAAGTCTTCCCAGTACAGCGTGCTAACCACTAGGCCAACCGAGAGACTGGAGGCCTGTGTTGGGGGGAGCTAGACCCGTCCCCCTGTCCGCGGACTGGGGCCGGGGAAGGGGAGGGTGGCGCCCCGTATGGCGAAAGCTTAAAGTTATAAAAACTCAAAGGAGAAGCATTCATTCGATGCAATTTCTTTTTTTACTTACTCCAGCATGGTCTAATGCATATTTGAGCAAAATTTCAGCCCAAACGGACAGCACTAACACTTGTTTTGGCCGCAATTTAGCTTTTAAACTTAAAAATTAAATATAAATTTTTTAAAAGCCTATTTTGAAAAAAACGCTTCTTCCTCACCTTCATTTACATCAAGTCAATATATGTGGAAAATTTCAGCCCAAACGGACTATGGGAAGGCACTTTTTGACGACTACAAAGGTTTTGCGGGCATACATACAGACATACAAACAAACGCAGACCCCCCCTCGAAACGCAATTTAAATCGGCTGTTAAAATTCGAAATTTAACTTTTTTTCAATTTTTAAAAACTTATAGTATGCAAAAAGTGTCGCCGGTTCCGATGGTGTATTCAGTTTCGCGATCCGATGCATGGTTCTTTTTTAAATCCGGAAAAGGACCCCAAAAGAGTCGTATGGGGGGGTACCTCAAACCAAAAGGGGTTAGCGGGCTACGCCCGCTACCCCCCGATGACGCTGGTGGTGAATTTGTACAGACAAAAAAGCTGAAAGAACTGTTTTCCCAATAGCTTTAACCGTATTCGGAATTCGGAAGGCATTGCCGGTAATATAATACGGTGTTCTAAAAAAAGTATACCCTTCTAGTGGTCCGGAGGAGTCTCGAATCGGAATGCTTTTTGGACCATTGGAAAGCCTTTAAAAAGGCGAGGATAGAAGCGCGTCCAGTTTTCTAGAATTCATGATTCGCTCCATATTCGCCGTTTAAACCAAAGAATTTTTTTGACCGGGGAACAGCAATTAACAAGCGAATGCCGGATAAAGCAGATTTTTTTACGGTTTACGGCAATCGAAAACAAAAGTAAAATGCCAAATCTGGAAGAGGACAAACCCCTTGTTGGCTTGGCTATCGAGAGCGTTCGATTGGTATCATAATCGTGAAAATCGGACACCGCTACGGACCGCCAGGAGCCGGCACTTTTTGCGGTCCCGGTTCATACAATTGCGAGGATTAATAAAGGGCATACTGATGCAGTTTTCTTGTTTTCCTGCAACAACTCTATGTCACATAATTGGCTAGCGTAATCGGTTGAGTGGGCCGGATAACTTCTAACTTTCCAGTACTTTTAAAATTGTCTAGATGTGGCAACGGCAAGCCGGCGTCACTGCGCAATTCGCTGGAAAGGCGTGCATACCGTTTTCTTCTGAAAAAATGGTCCTGCCACGAATCCACCGTAAAACTGGCCAGTTGCCAAGGACTGAAAATTAACCTGATTTTGCGTCCCAGCCTATTAAAGACAATTTTTACCGAGTTGTATCTTAACTGCCAAGGTGGAATGGGTTTCTAGTGATTTTTCAAAAGAATATAGTTTTTGCGGCACTTTTCGCATTTCCACGTAAAACTATGAGTCTTTCCAGTCTCTTTAAGAGCTAAAAATCATTTCGATCTGTTAACTGACTAACAATTCTGAGCCTCAGATAGTTATTTTTACCAAAAACCACGGCTTCTCATCTTTTCCAGGTTTTTCCAGGTTTTTCAGCCCCCTCGCGGCGCCGTCGTTTACTCATCATTGGCTCACCCTCCCATCCCAGGTTGCAGCCCCCCCTAAAACACGAATCAATTTGTCTTTTATGCCGCCTATTTCTCTCATTCTCACCCCACTCTCTCTCCGCAGCTGAGGTAAAAAGGGGCGTGGTTTATGGGGGAGAATCCGAAAAGCGGGGTCCAAAACAAGTGGCCGCGTGTGAGTCATACCCCCCACCTCACCTATACCTTGTCCTCAATCCTGCAGAAACGCTTTTGCGTGTTGGAGCAGGCTAGCAGAGGTTCTTTGGGAGCCAGTTAGCAAGAATTGATAAACGGGTGGACGCTAATTAGCATATTTGAGCTATCCTGACGATTTTTATTCCATATCTATCTAATATTCTCTCCTCTAGGCGCACTAGTTCGCCTTTTTAGTGGTCGGGCAAGCTAGCAGTGACTCTTTGGGAGTCAGAAAGCCGGAATCAGAGCAAAACAAAGCGCTATAAACTAATTTACCGTGTATTCGGCGGCTCTGCGTCTCTAATTGTCTGATACTCTCTCTCGCCCGATCACATTATTTTGTCGCCAGATGCTGAGGAGAATACGGTAGCCTCAAACCCTCGGTTTTTATGGATCTTTCGACGACGGCCATTGCGGATTGGCAAGGTGGGTGAGAAAAAACGTGCTAGGGTAGCTAACAGCGACCATTTGGGGATCAGCCTAGGATCAGGGCAAACTAGCAAAGAATCCTTGGGAAGCAGAAAACCGGAAATGGCACTTTGAAGTCATAGCCAAATAGCAGAGATTCTTCGGAAATTTTTGAAAAGCTGAAGTCCGTCAGCTGAAACTCGAACTCCGGGTCAGCTAGCAAACTTTTAGGGATTTTTTTAAAGCCTAGGCAACCCATCAGAGACCTTTTCAAAGCGAACGAGCAGAGAATCTTGGAGAAATTAAGAAAATTGCTGCCAAAATCGTAACCTGGCATGCTAGCAGAGATTTTGGCGATTTTAATGAATCTGAATCAAGTGCTAATTACCAAGTGGCGAGCTCTTCAATCTACTACTGGTCAACAAAGCTTTAGTAAAAATTAAAATTTTGTATTTTCAGGTGGTAAACCCGGTACTTACCGTAACCGTCCTCCCACAGTACCGAGCCCGAATTTGCAGGAAAGTATTCGGGCTCTCCGATGGATCGGAAGCACATACCAAGGCTGTCACGGCGACGCATTTGTAAAACTCGATGAATTTAATCCTTTATTTTCTCCAATTTTAAAAATCTAACAACCGTTGCCGGTCAGACTACCGTAATCGGTTACGGCGTGTAATTTTTGCATATTTCTGGTTCACTGGCTTAGTTGACTGCCAGTTTGTCGATTTCCATCTCAAAAATGACAACATTCAACCCAAAATAGCGTAATGCAATCTGCCGGCCAGACTACCATATTCGACTCAGGCATGTAATTTTTCGCGATTTTTGCGGTTCACTGTCGGTCAGCCGGCAGTCAGTTTGGCCATTCCACTATGAAAAAATGACGAAATTGCCTCAAAAATACCGTAATCTGCCGGTTAGACTACCATATGACCGGGGTTCTGTCATTATCTCGAAAATAAACATCTCGAAAATAAACATCTCGAAAGTTCATTATCTCGAAAGTTAATTATCTCGAAAGTTCATGATCTCGAAAGTTCATGATCTCGAAAGTTAAATATCTCGAACAGTCGAATTCTGGAAATGCAGCAACAAGGATACAAGGCTAAAGAGCTGCGTCCCGACTGCCAGGCGCAACAAGCCCTCTGCGAGAGCTATGATGCTTATGAAACCATTAACTTCGTCAAGTTAATTGCCCAGACCTTTGATTAAATGATATATCGGAATAAATGCTTTTTATTTTATTTGTGACATCAATATCGGGTTGATAACAAAAGGTGGAGTAGAATGGTAAAGACCGGGTTTCAAGGTTATGAACTT